TTGCAGCCGTCATTGTTGTTTGGCGGGCCCAGGCTGGATTCGAACCTGCCACCTTAGGTGTATGTGGCTGGCACCTTAGCCACTTGAGCCATAGGTGCCGAGCCACCCTAACTTTCTAATTGCTTTTGAATTCTGATTTTTTCTCAACAATCCATGATGGTGATCATACCAAAATCTGAGTCAGAATCCTTAATCAATTTTTGATCTCTAGTCTTTGGATATTCTTTCATCACCTTAGGCTCCATCTGAAGACAAAATGAGTCATCTAATTCCCACTTCTTCCCAAAGAGATTTTAACTCCCCATTTTCCTCTTTCTTTTACCACTTATTTCCATTTCTGCAGACGCTCAGGCTGAAGAGGCAGCCGTAACTGACTCATCTTCCTCACCATGCCCCTCATCCTGGTGCATCACCACCCAAGTCCCATTTGCTGAATTACGTATCAAAGGACTTGCATCCAAAATAAATAAAAATCTCTTAAGCTCAACAATAAGAAAACAAATAACCCAATTTAAAAAACGGGCCTACGATTTGAAAAACACTTCAGCAAAGATGATACAGATACAGCAAACAGGGCTGTGGAAGCTCCCAATGCATTAGTGAATCCAAGTTAAAACAAAAATGAGATTCGACCGTACACCTATCAGAGTTTACATCCAAAAAAACGACAGTACCAACTGTGGCCTTGAACACGGAGCAACAAAAGTTCTCCTTCCTGGCTGGTAAGAAGGCAGAATGGTGCCGTTAAGCAGCTGGTGGGCTCCTGCAGTGCTAACTACACTCTTCCTGCACACCCAGCAGTCACACCCTGACCATTCACCAGCAGACACCAACGCCGTCCACAAAAAGCAGGTGTGGGAATGTTCACTGCAGTTCCATTCACATTCATTCAGATCTGGAGTTAACCAAGATGTCCTTCAAGAAGCAAACAGATAAAATAAAAGCTGTGGTACATCCATGAAACGAATGTTTACAGATAAACTAAAAGCTGTGGTACATCCATAAAACGAATGTTCACCAATAGAAACAAATGAGCTAATAAGCCACGAGACACGTGGGCGAGCTTAAGTCTGCACTGGAGAGAGGGAAAGCTGGTGGGAGATGGATCCACGTAATGTAACTCCAACTATACAACATCCCAGAAAGACAAAACTGTAAAGCTGCTGAAAAGATCAGTGCTTGAAACTGCAGAGATAGGAAAAGAAAATCACTAGTTGCCAAGGTTTAAGGGGCGGGTAGGAAGGCTGAACGGATGAAGCACAGGGGACTTTTCAGAGTAATGAAACTGCTGTACTTGATACCACAGTGATGAAAACATGACACTGTACTGTGTCAAAACCCACAGAACTTTACTATAGGAAGAATAAACCTTAATGTATATAAACTGTTAATAAATCACCTAGGTTAAGGGATCTCAGGAAAGAAGGCATAATGTGATTCTGTGCTACAAACGTACAAAACTTCACTGAAGAGTCAGGGGTAAGGTGCTGACCTATAACCTCCCATGTGGGTGGAGACTGAAACGGAACAGGAAAGGAACTGAACACAGGCCCTGTACTCGACTTGCCAAAGCCGATTAACATCCCATTAGGCTAGAGTCTAACAATTATGACACCACTGTGCATGTACCCTGCAAATGAACAATTCAACAAATGGATGGGAGAAGGTGGGAACCAGATTTCTCACGGGTAGAGTGGGACGCTGCAGATGAGCGAAAGGAGGAACTTAGAGAGCTCCGTGTGGTGAAGAACTGGTGTTGGAGACGTCCGTGTGCACTCGTGCCTTCACAGCGTACATGGCTGCATGCAGGAATACCATACGTGTGCATACTCAGGCTAATACACGGACATCTTTTGTCTTGCACTGTTAGCTGAGAGGGCCTGGAGCAACAGGATCCCAGTACCCACGAGCATACATAGCACCCAGATCTTGTTCTCTAATACCATTCTGCAATAAAAGGAACCCAAGGCTCCTTGAAGAAATGCCTAATTTTAAGGCAGTAAAAAAAATACATAAGATAAGCTTAGAATAGCTAATGATCAAAAATTTGCCACCAATAGTTCACACAATGAGTCATACAGGCAGATTAATATAGGTAACTGTCCAGGGTAATGTGCACATTTGAACCACTCCTGCTAATAAACTACTTTCTCTTCCATCCAAAATTTTGCCAAAGTGCAACAGATAAGACTAATGAAACTGACGTTCATCTCTTTTTTCTTTTCTAGCATCTGACAGGAGTGTGAAGAAGTAGGGGCTAGTTTAACGCCACATGTAAGAAGAGCAAAGCATGGGACATTTATAGACTAAAGGATGGGACTGAGTTCGGAAGAGCTGATGAATTCCATTAATGTTCATAATGAATTTGCAAGCGCCCCACTGAAAATATCATAAAGGACTGCAATCTAAATAAATCAAAGCTGATAACCAGAGTGGCATCTGTAATGATTAGATTTAACACTGACCCTGAAGACCTGGACTAAAAGGCACGTAAAGACTGATAAATATTTTTGTGAAGATAATTACTTCTGTGGCTATGAATTCAGAAAGCAACCTGAGGGGAAGATAAAGAATAGCTTTATTTTAATGCTGAATAATTCTTTTAAAGAATCAGACATGTAAAAGATACCTCAGTATTTCCAACTTTAATATTTTGTTATTGAACCACAGAACAGAAACAAAAAGGATTAGCACTCTCTGGATTTCCACGCATGGTCCTGCAAAACCTCAGTAACAAAGTACATCAGTGATAAGGTGTTTGTGTATCTCTTCATAATATGGTAGCCTCACAGCTACTTTGGTCTCCACAGAGCTCTATGTTTCTAGCAATGTAACACACTACTGTGCTAGCTCCTTTGGTTTTTACTGCCTGCAAGACACAAATTCAACTTTTATTTTTTGGCCAGGGCCAGGTTTGAACCCGCCACCTCCGGTATATGGGGCCGGCGCCCTACTCCCTTGAACCACAGGTGCCACCCCAAATTCAACTTTATTTTTCCGAAGGAGATTGTGAATGTTTACACATAGGGATGTATATTAGTTTAAAACGTTTATAAAGCCATAGAATAAAATATATGGCCTCCCCGGACAGTCAGCTTCAACAATTACCAACTCAC